GAGTGAGAGAAGAGATAGACCAGAGACAGACCAGTGAGAGACTAGAGAGAGAGAGCAGAGAGACCAGAGAGAGACCAGAGAGAGACTAGAGAGACCAGAGAAATACTACAGAGAGAACAGTGATATAATAGGGAGAGAGAAGAGAGAGACTATAGAGCGACACCAGAGAGACCAGAGAGACTAGAGAGAGAGACCAGAGAGACTAGAGAGAGAGACCAGAGAGACTAGAGAGAGAGACCAGAGAGAGACTACAGAGAGACACCAGAGACCAGAGGGAGACCAGAGAGCAAAAAGAGACGAGAGAGTGACTAGAGCGAGGGACAAGAGAGAGACCAGAGAGAAACCAGATTGAGACCAGAGAGAGACTAGAGAGAGACTTGAGAAAGACCAGAGAGAGACCAGAGAGACATTAGAGACTACAGAGTGACTAGAGCGAGGGACCAGAGATAGAGAGGGACTATATATTTTTAAGTTTTCATGTATGTACGTATTTATCTATTTGCTTTTGAAATGGTTGGAATTTTTATCTGAAACTTGTTCTAAACTTGTGCACTTTAAAACCCTTCATTCTGAGCAGGAGGCGGTTGTGAGACGCAGTCAGTGATAATTAGTACAGTCAGTCATTTTCAGTCTCTCTCTGATCTCTCGGTCACTCTCTTTGGTCTATCTCTCTGGTGCCTCATGGTCCCTCTGATCTCTCTGCGTGGTCTTTCTGTCTGGTCTTTCGCTTTCCCTCTGCATGGTCTCTATCGCTGGTATCACTCTGATCCCTCCCTCTGGTCTCTCTCTCTGGCCTCTCTCTGTCTCTCTCTGCATGGTCTCTCTCTCTGGCCTCTATCACTGGTAACACTCTGAATCTGGTCTCTCTCCTATCTCTCTCTCTCTCTGGTCTCTCTCTTTGGACTCTGTCTCTGGTCTCTCTCTGGTCTCTCTCTTTGGTCTCTGTCTAGCCTCTCTTTCTAGTCCCTCTTTTTGGTCTATTTCTAGTCTCTCTCTGGTCTCTCTTTGGTCTAATTCATGTGGAATACTTTGGATTGAAGTCAGGACAGTCCTCTGTGTGTGATATCATAGTTGTACGATGACATCATACTAATACAGGACTGAGACAGGAGCATTTAGACAGAAGGGGCGGAGCTACACGATTGAGCCAAAAGTGTCTGATCTCAGCGTGGATGGAACTAAACAAATTTCTGGGTGTGTTTTGGACGAGGGAACAATGTTGTGACATGGTAAAAAACCTCATCATACGTCCCCTTTAAGATAGTCACTAATAAAACTGTAAAAAAAACTTGTCTGAAGTAACTTTTGCGTCAGCGCCGTAACCTCAGACTCACCTGCCGTCTCTGAACGTGTCGAAATCCCAAATCTGAGGGTGAACTCTGCATAAACTCACCGCTGCCTTTGAACCCAAAACCACAGAACGTCGTCGTCGTAGTAACACATTCCCCAAAGAAAAGCACGTTTAGACCGAAGACGTGCCCTGCGTTTGTGCCGTGAAGAAGGAAGAGAGGAGCGAGAGGAAAACCTGCATCAGTCAGAGGCAAAAATATGAGAAAATATATCCCCATTTCCACCAACTCTACTCTACTCTACTCTACTCTACTCTACTCTACTCTACTCTACTCTACTCTACTCTACTCTACTTTACCTGGTTGTGTTTCCATTACCATCAACAAACCAGCAACTGGGTAAATTCCTTGGTAACCATGACTTCCAACAGCGCTCTTTCCAATCACTGTCAGTCAGAACACTTTAGCACTAGCTCGGCCTGGATAGAACCAGGACCAAGAGGGACTAAAGAAGGACCTGGTACCGGGTACACAGACTGATGGAAACACTCTGACTTTGGGTAGAGTTGAGCCGAGCCAACTAGAGTCACAGGGTCAGACTTGTTACTAAGACGGTTGCTAAGGCAGGCTGGAGTTTCCCCAGTGAATGAAGGCCTCTGATTGGTCAATCTTTATAAGGCTCAAACCAGGATTTACAAAGACAATATCACAACACAAACACTTTCTCATTGATTGACTGCGGAACCTTCCGCAGTCAACCATTGGTTTTGTATTTCTTTATTCCGTCATTTTTTTTGACACGTTTCACAGCTTTCACATTTTCAACAATTTCCACAAGTTATACATCAAAACGTTCCACATGTTTGGGAGATTATTGCTATTACTTTTGGGACTTCAGCGATTTCCGGTTTTTCCGCAATCGGACAAAAATCTGCATTGAGAATTCTGCAATGCATTTTAATAGGCCCATGCATTTTAATAGGACTTCAGCTCTTTCAGACATTTCTACAGTTTCAATGATTCAACAGTTTCAAGGATTCAACAGTTTCAAGGATTTCAGCAGTTTCAAGATTTCAAGAGTTTCAAGGACTTCAACAGTTTCAAGGACTTCAGCAGTTTCAAGGACTTCAGCAGTTTCAAGGACTTCAGCAGTTTCAAGGACTTCAGTGTAATCATGCAACCTAATAGGGATTTTTCCATGTAAACCAGTATAATGCAACTTAATAGGGATTTTTCCATGTAAACCAGTATAATGCAACTTAATAGGGATTTTTCCATGTAAACCAGTATAATGCAACTTAATAGGGTTTTTTCATGTAAACCAGTATAATGCAACTTAATAGGGTTTTTTTTCATGTAAACCAGTATAATGCAACTTAATGGGGATTTTTCCATGTAAACCAGTATAATGCAACTTAATAGGGGTTTTTACATGTAAACCAGTATAATGCAACTTAATAGGGATTTTTCCATGTAAACCAGTATAATGCAACTTAATAGGGATTTTTCCATGTAAACCAGTATAATGCAACTTAATAGGGATTTTTCCATGTAAACCAGTATAATGCAACTTAATAGGGATTTTTCCATGTAAACCAGTATAATGCAACTTAATAGGGATTTTTCCATGTAAACCAGTATAATGCAACTTAATAGGGGTTTTTACATGTAAACCAGTATAATGCAACTTAATAGGGTTTTTTACATGTAAACCAGTATTATGCAACTTAATAGGGATTTTTCCATGTAAACCAGTATAATGCAACTTAATAGGGTTTTTTTTTCATGTAAACCAGTATAATGCAACTTAATGGGGATTTTTCCATGTAAACCAGTATAATGCAACTTAATAGGGTTTTTTTCATGTAAACCAGTATAATGCAACTTAATGGGGATTTTTCCATGTAAACCAGTATTATGCAACTTAATAGGGATTTTTCCATGTAAACCAGTATAATGCAACTTAATAGGGTTTTTTTCATGTAAACCAGTATAATGCAACTTAATAGGGTTTTTTTCATGTAAACCAGTATAATGCAACTTAATGGGGATTTTTCCATGTAAACCAGTATAATGCAACTTAATAGGGTTTTTTTTTTACATATAAACCAGTATAATGGAACTTAATAGGGGTTTCAAGGATTTCAGGAGTTTCAATGTTTCAACAGTTTCAAGGATTTCAGGAGTTTAAAGGTTTCAACAATTTCAAGGACTTCAGGAGTTTCAAATATCTATCAAGTATTTTAACAGTTTCAAGGCCTTTTAAAGGATTTCAAGGATTTTTTTTAGCAGATTTCCACATTAGATCTGTTCCGCAGTCAATCGCAATGGCTTCAGCCATTGCAAGTTTCTAGTTTTTATTATTATTATCTTCTTTAAGCTAAAATGTAATACATATACATTTAGATACATGTGTTAAGATACTGTGAAAAATAAAAGCTTGGATCAAAATCTCTCTGTGTCTGGATCACACATCTCCTGTTGACTGTGCAGCACTTACGCTCTGTAATGTGGATTAAAATTTAACAGGGCTTTTTGCATTGTGCCCTGAGCTGCCGTAAAACTTGCTGTTGCTGCTTATCTGGCGCCCGGCCCGGAACCCTTACCGTTAATTGTCCCGTGGCGAGCGGCCATTACAAACGTCGTAAACACGTCGGTAAATCCAGAACTCACCTGAGGATGAGAAGCACCGACAAACATGGAATACAAACACAGACGATACCGACGATTCAGCTTTTAGACCAAGGAGAAGAGATAAGTGCTTTGGCTTAACACTTGGACTCCCAGAAGGATGAAACTCTCTCTCTGGTCTCTCTCCGGTCTATCTCTCTGGTTACTGTCTCTCTCCGATCTCTCTCTGTATGGTCGTCATCTGGTCTCTCTCTGGTCTGGTCTTTCTTTTTGGTCTCTCTCTGGTCTCTCTCTTTGGTCTCTCTGGTCTCTCTCTTTGTTTTCTGCTGTCTCTCTCTGGTCTCCATCTGTCTCTCTCTGTGCTCTCTCTCTTTCTGTTCTTTCACTTTGGTCTCTCTCTGGTCTCTCTCTAACTTGCTACACTAACTGGAACTGCTAGTAAGCTAACAGTATGTTGCCATGGCTATAAGCGATTGCTCATTTCTACTTCTCTACCCCATTTCAAAATTAAAAGATAATTTGGTAAAAAATAATGACATTTTTTCTTAAATACACAAATGGAATTGTTTATTTTTATCTCGCTGCTGAGATTGTTCCACAACGACGGACTAGATTTTTTAACTTTCGGCAAAATAAATGTACTGTCATCTCTTAAACAATATGTAGTTTTAAGTTGAAATTACTTTTGAAGACTTTCTTAAAGCACATTTGATTCAGCCTTAAGTATTTTGTAGTTAACAAGGTTGTGGAGATTCATAAGAATTGATTTTTAGAAATAATGGACACAATCATAGCATCCTACTTTATTTTGGTTGCTAAGACTGTTGCTAAGGCAGGCGAATGAAGGCATCTGATTGGTCACTCCTTATATTGCTCATATCTGGATTTACAAAGACAATATCAAAACATAAATACCAGGATCACAGAGAGCCATAAAAAACAGATTTTATAACCTAAAATGGTGAGTGTGACATAAACGGTTACTGAGCCGGAGGAGTTTACTTTCAGATGTGAGTCACTCCGAGCCAGAGCGATTTTAATTATCACGGGGGAAGCCAAACACCAGGACAGTGTTGTGAGATGGGTAAAAAGCTAATTTTCGTGTTTTTTTTTTCTATTCCTGAATCCTGGTATCTGTCAGCGGCTCGTAATGAGAGAGGTCACTGCGACGAAGACCCGATAATTGGATTCAGGTTTTCCTCCTGGTTCAGAAAGCTGCGGCTTCAATTATTAAAATACGGATTTGACACGCTGGATTTCAAAAGTGTTTATTCCAGCTTCATACACACAGACACACACACCTACACACACACACATACACACACGCACACACGCACACACACTCATACATACACATACACAAACAGACACACACCCAGAAAACCTCACATACATAAAAAGAGAGAGGCATCTCAGAGACACACACAAACATACACCGAAAGAGAGAGAGAAAAACACACACACCCAAACACACACACACACACACACACACACACATAACACACGCACACAAACATAACACACACACACACACACACATAACACATAACACATAACACACACACACACATAACACACACACACAAATACGTACACCGAGAAAGAGAGAGACACACACATATACAGAAATGACGCACCGCTGCACACTGGGGACTTGTGCACTTATTCCAATGTGGTGTTACTGCAAATGGCATAAACACTGAATCTGATGGCTCCTCATTCACCTCCTCGCTCTCCTCCTCCTCATTCCACTTATCGCTCTGGTCCTCGCTCAGCTCCTCACTCTCCTCTTTTCTCACCTCCTTTCTCCCCTCCTCGCTCCCCTCCTCGCTCACCTCCTCGCTCCCCTCCTCGCTCACCTCCTCGCTCACCTCCTCGCTCACCTCCTCGCTCACCTCCTTTCTCTCTGTCTCGCTCTCCTCCTTTCTCCCCTCCTCGCTCACCTCCTCGCTCACCTCCTCGCTCACCTCCTCGCTCACCTCCTCGCTCACCTCCTTTCTCTCTGTCTCGCTCTCCTCCTTTCTCCCCTCCTCGCTCACCTCCTCGCTCACCTCCTCGCTCACCTCCTCGCTCACCTCCTCGCTCACCTCCTTTCTCTCTGTCTCGCTCTCCTCCTTTCTCCCCTCCTCGCTCACCTCCTCGCTCACCTCCTCGCTCACCTCCTTTCTCTCTGTCTCGCTCTCCTCCTTTCTCCCCTCCTCGCTCACCTCCTCGCTCTCCTCGCTCTTAGTATTCCACTGACTTTAGGATCTTTTAATCTCAATCTTAATCCTGTGTTAGTGTGAGTGAGGATAGCATCTGTACTCCAGGATAAGGCTGAGGGACCAGCACGAACCTGCTCGTGCTGGTCCCTCAGTGAGACCTGTGTGTGCTGTTCTTATCTGAGCTGCTGCGGCTGGAGTCAGATTGAGATCCGTGTCTTTTCTCTGATCTGTTTCCTGCTGTGACAGAGCCCTCTCTGAACACAGTCTCCCACACCTTTCTGTGGAGAGGTTTCTACCGTGACAGAGTATGACATCACCTCCTCCTCGCACACCTCCTCGCCGCTCCTCCTTGGCCTCTGCCCTTTCTCTTTCTCCTTCTCGCTGACCTACTCGCTCTCTTCCTCGCTCTCCTCCTTGCTTTCCTCCTCACTGTCCTCCTCGCTCACCTCCACGTTCGACTCCTCTCTCACCTCCTTGCTCTGCGTCTCGCTCACCTCCTCACTCCCCGCCTCCTGGATCACCTCCTCACTCTCCTCCTACCCCACTCCTAGTTCACCTTCTTGCTCTCCTCTTCGCTTACCTCCTCGCTCCCCTCCTCGCTCAGCTCCTCTCTCACCTGCTCCCTCACGTCCTCTCTTTCCTCCTCGCTCACCTCTTTCCCCACACATCAGTAAGCTCCTCCCTCTCCTTCTTGCTCACCTCCTTGGCCTCAGCCCTTTCTCTCTTTCCTCCTCGCTCAGTTCCTCGCTCAAGTCCTCACTCACCTCCTCCACGCTCTCCTCCTTGCCACTCCTCCTTGGCTTCGGTCCTCTCTCTCTCTCCTCCTCACTCTCCTCCTCGCCCACCTCCTGGCTCGCCTTCTCCTCCCTTACACTCCATGGCCTCAGTCCTCTCTCTCTCTCTCCTCCTCTCGCTGCTCCTCACTCCTCCATGCCCTCAGCTCTCTCTCGCTCTCCTCCTCGCTCCTCCATGGCCTCAGTCCTCTCTCTCTCTCCTCCTCCCTCTCCTCCTTTCTCCTCCATGACCTCAGTCCTCTCTCTCTCTCCTCCTCCCTCTCCTCCTCGCTCCTCCATGGCCTCAGTCCTCTCTCTCTCTCCTCCTCCCTCTCCTCCTCGCTCCTCCATGGCCTCAGTCTTCTCTCTCTCTCCTCCTCTCTCTCCTCCTCGCTCCTCCATGGCCTCAGTCTTCTCTCTCTCTCCTCCTTCCTCTCTTCCTCGCTCCTCCATGGCCTCAGTCCTCTCTCTCTCTCTCGCTCTCCTCCTCCCTCTCCTCCTCGCTCCTCCATGGCCTCAGTCCTCTCTCTCTCTCTCCTCTCTCTCCTCCTCCCTCTCCTCCTCGCTCCTCCATGGCCTCAGTCTTCTCTCTCTCTCTCTCTCCTCCTCCCTCTCCTCCTCGCTCCTCCATGGCCTCAGTCCTCTCTCGCTCTCCTCCTCCCCTCTCCTCCTCGCTCCTCCATGGCCTCAGTCTTCTCTCTCTCTCCTCCTTCCTCTCTTCCTCGCTCCTCCATGGCCTCAGTCCTCTCTCTCTCTCTCTCTCTCTCTCTCTCCTCCTCCCTCTCCTCCTCGCTCCTCCATGGCCTCAGTCTTCTCTCTCTCTCCTCCTTCCTCTCTCCTCGCTCCTCCATGGCCTCAGTCCTCCTCTCTCTCTCTCTCTCTCTCTCTCTCCTCCTCCCTCTCCTCCTCGCTCCTCCATGGCCTCAGTCCTCTCTCTCTCTCCTCCTCCTCTCCTCCTCGCTCCTCCATGGCCTCAGTCTTCTCTCTCTCTCCTCCCTCCCTCTCCTCCTCGCTCCTCCATGGCCTCAGTCTTCTCTCTCTCTCCTCCTCTCTCTCCTCCTCGCTCCTCCATGGCCTCAGTCTTCGCTCTCTCCTCCTTCCTCTCTTCCTCGCTCCTCCATGGCCTCAGTCCTCTCTCTCTCTCTCTCCCCTCCTCCTCTCCTCCTCGCTCCTCCATGGCCTCAGTCCTCTCTCTCTCTCTCTCTCCTCCTCCCTCTCCTCCTCCTCTCTCTCCATGGCCTCAGTCCTCTCTCTCTCTCCTCCTCTCTCTCCTCCCTCTCCTCCTCGCTCCTCCATGGCCTCAGTCTTCTCTCTCTCTCCTCTCTCTCTCTCTCCTCGCTCCTCCATGGCCTCAGTCTTCTCTCTCTCTCCTCCTTCCTCTCTTCCTCGCTCCTCCATGGCCTCAGTCCTCTCTCTCTCTCTCTCTCTCCTCCTCCCTCTCCTCCTCGCTCCTCCATGGCCTCAGTCCTCTCTCTCTCCTCCTCTCTCTCCTCCTCCCTCTCCTCCTCGCTCCTCCATGGCCTCAGTCTTCTCTCTCTCTCCTCCTCCCTCTCCTCCTCGCTCCTCCATGGCCTCAGTCCTCTCTCTCTCTCCTCCTCTCTCTCTCCTCCCTCTCCTCCTCGCTCCTCCATGGCCTCAGTCTTCTCTCTCTCTCTCTCTCTCTCCTTCCTCTCTTCCTCGCTCCTCCATGGCCTCAGTCCTCTCTCTCTCTCCGCTCTCTCCCCTCCTCTCTCCTCGCTCCTCCATGGCCTCAGTCTCTCCTCTCCTCTCCCTCTCCTTCTCGCTCCTCCATGGCCTCAGTCTTCTCTCTCTCTCTCCTCCTCCGGCGGTCGCTCCTCTCTGGGGGGTTAAGGTCGGTCTGATCCTCTCCTTTGTGAATCTCGGGGAGGTGGAAATTGGAAGCTGAATGAGATTTGTGGCGTATGATGTGGGCTCCGCAGGGTGAGGGTTACCGTGCCGACGCAGACATGGCTGGAAACAAGCCATTTCCACGGACAAGATTCATGGCTTTAATATCAGCAGCAGACCATGTGGTGTTTTTAACCCGCTGATCTGGCCTCGATCAGTGGGACAAACATTTTTTCCAAACATGTTTATTCATGTTTGTGTTTCGCTGCTTTAGTTTTGCATTGAGGGAAAAACTCACAGAAATCAGTGCCATGATTTTGTCCTGTCCTTGTTTCGATAAAGTTGTGTTACTTTGAATCCAGGTTCAAAGCTCTGTTTGGCCGTGCGTACAACTGTATGAGTGTGATTATGAATGATTGCCTTGAGTAACTGTTTTTGTTTTGCGTGTGTCAGATCTGTGCCATACAAATAAACTTGCTTTTCCTCTAAACGATAATTCAAATACATTACTTTTAATGTGTGTTTTTCCGTCAACTGACTGTAGAGACAGATACAGCTCAAGACTCGACTGTGTGTGTGTGTGTGTGTATAAATGTGTGTATTTGTGTGTGTGTATGTGTGTAGGTGTTTGTGTGTGTCTGTGTGTATATTTGTGTGTGTAAATGTGTCCATGTGTGTGTGTGTGTGTGTGTGCGTGTGTGTGTCTCATTGACTGCGTGTCCGGTGGGAGACAGGGGGATGGTGAAGGATGTGCTCCTACAGTGGTAGGGAAAACCGGAGCACCTGGAGCAAACCTACGCAGACACAGGGAGAACATGCAAACTCCACTCAGAAAGACCCTGTTTCGACCGGGATTCGAACCCAGGACCTTCTTGCTGAGAGGCGAGAGTGCAATCTACCATGCCGCCCAACAGTGACACTCGACCACTATCAGTTCTGCATTTGACTCACCTGGGTCTATACAGCCTCAGACCTGGATCTACAGCCTCAGACCTGGATCTACAGCCTCAGTCCTGGATCTACAGCCTCAGACCTGGATCTACAGCCTCAGTCCTGGATCTACAGCCTCAGTCCTGGATCTACAGCCTCAGTCCTGGATTTGGATCTGGATTGATCTCACATTTGGCATAGTCAGAATCACTCTGGATGTGCAAAAAGACAGTGAGTGTGCAAACATATTAAAAAAGTGAAAACTACATTCATTGGTCGCTGCCACTTACGGACTAATGTCTCTCTGTGTTTATTTCTTGTGTTTGAACTGTTTGATTCTCTGATCTATGCTGGCGAATCAACAACTTTGTAAAGTCCTTCCGACACGACGGCGGCTGTGATTTAGCCTTGAAGAAAATAAAATGAAATTGAATAAGGTGAATTCCCTCCTCTTCCTCTCTCTGCCTCTGGTCACAAACGCAATCCAAGACGCCAAAGTAAATCCGTGATTGACACGTCGGCGCCGCGCCTCAGAGCACAATGTCATTTAGCTCCAACGCCGATTTGTGAATGAGTGTTTGCACTGCAGCCCCCCTCCCCACGCCCCCCTCCACACGCCCCTCTTCAATTATGCATCCGCCGCTAATCCTCCTGATGTGGCTTTTATTAGCGTGTCTTTCTCTGGGGAAGAAAGACGAAGCCTGTTAGACTCTGTTTCTGTCAACAACGTCTCTTTTCAAAGGCACCAGTCGCGGCGTTTGTGACGTGACTCACACCATTGACGCTAATAGGATTATAACTAATGCATGTGTCAGTATTAACCGAGTTCTTTTGTTATTCTTCCAAGAGCTGTGTTCATTCATAAATTCAACACAATGACTAGAGCTACGGATCCGACACACAAACACACCATCACTCACGCTGAGCCAAAAAACTCTCCGACCCCAAACCATCACCAGCGCTGGATACCATGTGTGATGAGTGAGAGAGACCAGAGAGTGACCAGAGAGTGACCAGAGAGAGACCAGAGTTCAGATAGTCCTCCTTTTTCAAGAACTACTCCTTGTATCTTTTTAAACCAGGATAATTCTGCTTCTCCCATTGGACCAAATCTTGTTTTCAGATGAGATAAGATGAAGTAAAGTGAAAACATAGTCTCTTTTTTGCAAGATATTTTATGTACAATTAAATTCACAGTGAAAGGCAGTCAAAATGTGTTCAAAGTAAGATACATTTTGCTAAATTTGAGCATTTTTTAGCTTATTTTTCATCACTTTTTGCAGTGTATTTCTTCCCGTAACAGAACAGGCAAGAATTCCCTTCGCTGGTCTGCTGGGGGAGTGTGCGTGGCGTTCCCTGACACGTTGATGGTTGTTCAACTCGTCAGGACTCCCTCTTTCAGCTCCTCTCAGCTCCTCGCAGCTCGCCACAGCCTCTTCAATATTCATGTTTGATATTTCAGCCCCCCACTGGGCCGCGTGGGTGGGGCTCACACATGACTGCGTCTGCGGAGGATCCAGGCCTGATCCCTGCCTCTGTCGGCTCCGGAGGTGGGCTCTTCAGGAAGGAAGGGTGGAGGGGGGGTCTCTGTCTCCCCTCTCTGTCTCCCCCCTTAGGTGAGACTAAAGAGTGACAAGAGAGAGGGTCCAGAGAGAGAATCCAAAGAGAGAGACCTGAAAAAAGAATAGCAGTGAGCAGTGAGAGACCAAGGAGAGACCTGAGAGAGAGAGCAGTGAGAGACCATGCGAGACCTGAAAGAGAGAGCAGTGAGAGACCAAGGAGAGACCTGAGAGAGAGAGCAGAGAGAGACCAAGGAGAGACCTGAAAGAGAGAGCAGTGAGAGACCAAGGAGAGACCTGAGAGAGAGAGCATTGAGAGACCAAGGAGAGACCTGAGAGAGAGAGCAGAGAGAGACCAAGGAGAGACCTGAGAGAGAGAGCATTGAGAGACCAAGGAGAGACCTGAGAGAGAGAGCAGAGAGAGACCAAGGAGAGACCTGAGAGAGAGAGAGCAGTGAGAGACCAAGGAGAGACCTGAGAGAGAGAGCAGTGAGAGACCAAGGAGAGACTGAGAGAGAGAGCAGTGAGAGACCCAGGAGAGACCAGAGAGAGAGAGAGCAGTGAGAGACCCAGGAGAGACCAGAGAGAGAGAGCAGTGACAGACCAGAGAGAGAGAGAGCAGTGAGAGACCCAGGAGAGACCAGAGAGAGAGAGCAGTGAGAGACCCAACGTGAGGGACCAATGTGAGACCAGAGAGAGTGAGAGAGACCAGAAAGAGACAACAGAGATCAGGGTGAGAGACCAGTTAGAGACCAAAGAGAGAGAGACCAGCGTGAGAGAGACCAGAGGGTGTCATCCTCTTCATGGGGAGCGATCAGATGCAGTCTCCCCCAGTGGGAGGCATGTCTGTGGCTCGGGTGGAAGAGCTCAGGGGAGACGTGGAGCTTCTCAATCTGCGGTGCGAGTACTGCAGCGATTGTTTGATTATGGACTATGTTTTCATATTTGTGACAATTCAAAATGTTACAAAATGTCTCAGTGAAGAGTCAGGGAGCCATGAGAGAGACCATTAAGAGGGAGACAAGAGAGAAAGAGAGACCAGAGTGGAAGAGACCAGATAGAGAAATAGACCGGAGTGAGAGAGAGAGAGACAAGAGTGAAGGAAACAAGAGAGAGACCAGAGAGAAAATAGGCCACAGTAGGATCAGAACAATTCTCAATCAACAGAGAGAGAGAGATAGACCAATGAGAGAGAGACCAGAGGAGAGAGAAAGAGTGAGGGAGCCAAGAGAGAGACCAGAAGAGGGAGACGAGAGAGAAAGCGAGACCGGATTTGAAGAGACCAGAGAGAGAATAGACCAGTGTGAGAGAGAGAGCAGAGAAAGAGGACAGAGAGACAAGAAAGGGAGACACGAGAGAGACCAGGAAGAGAAAAAGACCAATGAGAGAGAGACCAGAGAGAGAGAGAAGACAAAGAGTAAGGGAGAAAAGAGAGAGACCAGAGAGAAAGAGAGACCAGGAAGAGAAATAGACCAATGAGAGAGATACTACTGAGAGAGAGACCAGAGAGAGAGGAAGCAGAGAAAGAGTGAGCGAGACAAGAGAGAGACCAGAGAGAAAGAGAGAAGGTAACCAGAGTGAGATCAGAGAGAGAGAGACCAGAGTGAGAGATCGGAAAGAGAGAGACCCGAGTGAGGAAAAAAAAACATAAATGAATATACCTGCAAAGAAGATATGGGACACTGTGACAGTTTTTGTTTTTTTGTATTTTGCTCCAGGAATTACACAGAAATGATCTCTAAACTCAGACTAGAATCCTACTTTTCACGGTCACCATAGTAACCAGGAGAGATTGATCAGCTGCCCTCCGCCACAGAGTGAAACCGTGGGGTCTTTGGGGTGTTGTGATGTCACGCGCTCGCAGATTGTCCTCCTCCGTGAAACCCTCTGAGGACTAATGTACATCTGTTATTCTGAGCAGGTTCGGAGAAGTTCATTTTCAGCTTTTAGCCTGAACGCTCAGAGTCTATTAGGCTGTTACTACGGCAACACGTCACGTACAAAGTCGAGCACGAAACGACACAAGGTTGAACAGTTTTTCCCGGATCCTCCTTCACTGAAGTCCTTGTGGAGTTTCAGCACTTCACTACTGTGATTAATAGACCAGAGGGAGACTGGAAAGAGAAGAGAGGGACCAGAGGGAGACCAGAGAGAGACCAGAGAGAGACTGGAAAGAGAAGAGAGGGACCAGAGGGAGACCAGAGAGAGACCAGAGAGAGACCAGAGAGAGACTAGAGAGAGGGGCCAGTGAAAAACCAGAGAGATAGAGAGAGACCAGACAGAGATCGGAGAGAGAGAGAGAGAGAGAGAGAGAGAGAGAGAGAGAGACCTGGGAGAGAGACCAGAGTGAAAGAGAGCAGAGACAGAGAGAGAGACCAGAGAGAGACTGGAGAAAGGGAGACCAGTGAGAGAGAGAGAGAGACCGACCAGACAGAGACCATAAAGAGTTGAGAGAGAGAGACCAGAGAGGGAGACTGGAGAGAGGGACCATAGAGAGACCAGAGAGAGGGATACCAGAGAGAGGTAGACCAGTGAGAGAGACCAGAGTCAGAGAGAGGGCGACCAGTGAGAGGGTGACCAGGGAGAGGGAGACCATTGGGAGAGAGAGAAACCAGAGAGAGAGAGACAGTGAGAGAGACCAGACAGAGATCGGAGAGAGAGAGTGACCTGGGAGAGAGACCAGAGTGAAAGAGAGAGAGAGACCAGAGAGAGACTGGAGGGAGGGAGACCAGTGAGAGAGAGAGACCGACCAGACAGAGACCAAAAAGAGTTGAGAGAGAGAGACCAGAGAGGAAGACTCGAGCGAGGGACCAAAGAGAGACCAGAACAGAGATGAGAGAAGGAGACCAGAGAGAGAGAAACCAGAGAGGGAGACCAGTGAGAGAGAGAGAGACCAGAGAGAGGGAGACCAGAGAGAGGGAGACCAGTGAGAGCGACCAGAGAGAGACCAGAGAGAGACCAGAGAGAGGGAGACCAGTGAGAGAGACCAGAGAGAGACCAGAGAGAGACAAGAGAGAGACCAGATAGAGACCAGGGAGAGGGAGACCACTGAGAGAGACTAGCGAGAGACCAGAGAGAGACCAGAGAGAGGGAGACCAGAGAGAGAGAAACCAGAGAGAGGGAGACCAGAGAGAGAGAGCGACGTCCTTGTGGAGTTTCAGCAATTACCAACTGTGATTGATAGAGTTTTATTTAAATGAATGTAGTGAAGGTGCCTGTTATTGGAATGTAACTTAAGTTATCATTTTGGTAAATCATATTTGGCTATATGCTGAATGCTCTGTATTGTAATTCACTTTAGCTCCAGGAAGACACCGGGAGGTCTGGGGAGCTCATATGCTAAGTGTCTTTTGTTGTGTTGGTTTCTTCCTTTCCCATCTGCATACGAAGGTGTGTCTTGTTCTACCAAAAGGGGCTTGCAGACTGTGAATCTTCAGACTTGTCCTGAGAGAGGCTAGGGTCTGCGCCTTGCCTCTGTCAAGACTTTCTCCTTGTACAATGTAACAAGTAAAAGATTAACTTTGTCTCTTTGTTGTGTGAGATTTCATCAGGTTCAACTGTGGTTGAAACAGCATTATCAGTGCCCTACGTCAGAAGCGTTTAACCCAAAGGAACTGGACTGGTCTGGTCTGGACCGCGCCCAAAACCACGGAGAAAACAATCTTTACTGGAAGATTTATGAGCTTTCTGCAATTATTTATACACGGACTTGGTTTAGTACTACATCAAAAACTTGTAAGAGACTGCAGACATCGACCCGGGACAGCAGTGGGAAAGGTGGGCGTGTTGATTGAACCTGTGTCAGCTTTTTGTCAGAGGGAAGACAGGAACGTGTCAAAGTGAGTGAGTCAAAACATACTTCCTACGTGAAAAGTCACAGCGCAGTGCAGCCGGGTCAGAGAGACCAGAGAGAGAGAGTGGAGAGAGAGACTAGAAAGAGAGAGAGTAGGGAGGGAGACTAGAGAGAGAGAACAGAGAGAGAGAACAAAGAGAGAGAACAGAGAGAGACTAGAGAGAGACCAGAGAAAGACCAGAAAGTGACCGGAGAGAGACCAAAGGGAGACCACAGAGAGACCAGAGAGAGAGACTAGCAAGAGAAAGACCAGAGAGACACCAGAGAGAGAGACTAAAGAGAGAGAGACCACGGGGAAACCAAAGGGAAAGACTAGAGAGAGAGAAACCAGATAGAGACCAAAGAGAGAGACCAGAGAGAGAGAGACCAGAAAGAGAGACCAGTAAGAGACACACCAGAGGAAATCGTATTATAATGGACTAGGGCAGTACTTCTCGGTTCTGCCGGTCTCCTCGAGGACGAGGGTGTAGCACTTACATTCTTATAAATAAAACATTTACAAAAGGGGAAACCGGCTAAATTAATTCTCACATCAGCAGAGGCCCTTAAGCACACTCCACTGCTGGTGCCGGTGCCGCTGATGGTTTTTCCGCGGGGCCCGAGAGAGTCTAATGTGTTGTGGATTTGATGGTGCAGGCTGAAGGAGGTGGAGTGAGGCCTCGTCAGCACAACGGTAATGTGGATCCTCATTATCGCCTCTGTCCTCTGGCTCTCAAGGTTCTCTCACTGAACTGCAAAGAGAGAGTAGAGAGAGAGAGAGAGACTAGAGGGAGGGATACCAGATGGAGAGAGACCAGAGGGAGGACGGCCAGTGGGAGAGAGACCAGAGGGAGGGAGGGACAAGAGAGAGAAGACTAGAAAGACCAGAAAGATCAGAGAGAGTGTCACACAGAGCTGCAATGTGAACGATAGATTCAGAGAGCAGGGTTTGGGTCCAAGCATCTTAGAGACAGATTCAGATTTGTTTTTTTTCCCCATTTGCAGTAAAACCACATTGGAATACATGTGCAAAAGTCCTCAGTTTTCAAATTGGGAGGAAAAAAACGAATTCCACTCCTCCCTCTGGTGACAGCACAGGGAGTTACAGGTTGGAGTGCTTTTTTTTTTTACCCATATATTTTCTACTTGAGTTAATAATCATAATTAACCAAATAGAAAATAATCATACAGCCAAAACCATTGCTAATGGACCAAAATACAGAGTTTTTTAATTATTTATTA